GGCCCGGAGGCTGCCTCGGAGCGTCTCCCCAGGGACGGTGTCTCTGAAAGTCACACCCAACCCCTGAAGTTCCAGGCCCCCACGCCAGAGCCCTCTGCTGGGCTGTCTCCTTGGGGAGGCAGAGCCCAGCTGAGGCCTGTCCTTGTTTGGAAACTTCATGTATTTTCCACCACTGCTCATTCTTGACATGCAGAATTTTGCTGCTGTGGAATTTATGATGCCAAAAACCTAAGTTTAAGGAATTTTGCCTGAAGCCGACTGGGTGGCCTAGAGGATTAGACGGTTTACTGGAATAACACCCTTCACTGTGTGCTGAGTTGGGTGTGTGTGTGTAGGATGGGAGGTTTGTGATGCAGGAAGGCACTCGGAAGAAGCAAGAGGTTCCACCCAGAGCCGACTTACCTCAGCCATGAGTGTCGTCGCAGAGCTGGGAAAACCTTAGCTGTCACCACCGACCCACCCCTATGGCTGCCCGCGCTTTACGAAATACGAAAACCAGTAAAGAGCCAGTCACAGGGCAGCAGACTGTCTTGAGTCTAGAAGTCTTCACGCTGTACCCCTAAGATGGGTTCTCAGTGTCCCATCTAGGTCCCTAGATGTTAATAAATGTTACGAGAAAAAAGGTTAAAAAATAAATGAAGAATTCTGAGTAAAACCAAAACCAGTAGTTTTCTTTACTCTGGAAAATTTCGGAGCCTTTAAAAATTACTCTGTAAACCTCCAGGGGATTGTTAAAATATGTAGCATTTCTCAAACTTAATTAGCCAAGAAACCTTTTTTCTGAACAACACTTCAAGGGCACAGGGTCCTGCAGAAGACCTTGGGAAACACCCAGCCCTCTGGCCTCACGTGCCGTTTCATCCTGTTCAGAACGAGTTTGACCCCTGCGCAGGACTCCCTGTAACAGCTAAGCCAAAGTCACGTTTCCAGTCCCCGGTGGTTAGACAGGGAGGTTGGTTCCAGTTGGTCAGGGTTACTGACGAATCTAGAATGAATTCTGCTTTCCTCGAGGCCACACCTCTGATCGTTCCCCCTAGAAGTGGAATTGTTGAGGCAAAGTGCGTGAACGTTTCCAGGCTCTCTAAATACATTGTCCAGAAGTTTCCCAGAAGGGTCAGGCCCCCTCATCCTGCCGGTTGCTGGAAGCAGTTTCCATATGTGACAGCTGAGGGTCTTAGAAACTCAGAGAAGGCCTTGCCCTGGCCCTCGTCCTGCAGACATCCAGCAATTAAACACCAGCAGCCACACGCACACCCGGACAGAAACAGCCATTTCTTTTGAGGGGACAGATTGGCTTTTCACAATTCCTTGTGCTTCTTCTAGACAAATGTCACTGGAGAGCTACCTGAACACTTTAATCTGGTTTTCTAGACATTTTGTTGGGTACTTAGGGAAGAAGGGATTTTGAACTGGCGTCTACTGTGCTCATTTTCCAATAACCTTCCAAGGTGAGATTAAACGAGATAGTTGTCAACCTTGCTTGATGGTGAACTTTGCGTCTAGAAGAGTCGTTTATGAGAGGGTCTCCTCAGTCTTCATTCCGACCCCACGGGAGTGCAGGGATGTCATGCTGAGTGCTGAGGCTGGCGGCAGTGCTTTTGTTTTATATTTTGTAAGAAGGAAAGTCTCACGTTGTAGCTAGAGGTGATTTATCTTTTTGTCCTCCACAAATATTACCCTCTGGTCAACGCATTGCTGGGTTTTGGACCTGAGACATGAACTTTAACTCATTAAACCCCCCCGTCCTCTGTAATGTAGTCATTTAAGTGGTTTCACCAACAGATTTATTTCAAAATGATTCCATTTGGAGGAAGGAAGGAACAAGCAATGCGTCGTATGCAACGATCTAGTCAGTAATTCATGAGCCCACACCCCAGGGACCGTCTCAGATTCAGTTCTTGGTTTTATAGCTTGAAATGGACTCTGTCTGAGAAAACGTGCACAGCTCGCTTCTCTTTGTGCTCGAGTCCACAAGTATCTTGATTTTTGAGAGACATATTTTGTACCAGCTCTCCTACCTCGAGTGTGCAAGTGGGTCATTCTCATATGGAAGCGATTTGGGAAAAATGAGCGTTTTATATAACTGGGCTGAAAGGACACTTGATATGCATTCTCTTCGATTAGCAAAGCAGGGATGTTTAAAAAATACACGGCTTTTTCCTCCTTTATGGCAGGGGTTCTGATTTTGTGTTCTGCCTCTGGAGTGGGTTGCCAAAGGAAGGACTGAGAATAGATTTATTGATGCTTACGAGGACAGTAGACACACAGAGCTGGGCTGTGAGCAATTGTGAACGGCCCTGTCCTCAGTGAGTCCTGGTGAGCAAGGGGCCAGGCCCTCCAGCTGGGAACTCCGGGGTCCATCCTGAGCCCCATCCAGTCTGGTCCCTTTTCCGAAAACCCCCAGGCACCAGGGAATTTTCTCATTGGGGTGGAGACTTGCTCAAGGGCTGTGGGGCTGGGGACCTCGCACCCTCTGGTGAGGCCGCGCTAGCCTTCTGCAGGAAGAGGGAAACCTCGGGGACTGACATGCTTCCAAGTTTCAAACGGGATCCCAGTCTGGCCAGTGCTTATTCAGCGAAGTGTACTGCACGGGAGGTCAGCATGAATGATGGCTTTGTTGTTTGCCAGAGAGAAGCTTCAGAACCCATCCTTCTTTCCCCACAGTTCCCCCAGCCCACTCCCCAGTAAACACGGCTGCTTTTTTTCAGTTTAAAAATCACTGTACAAATTTGTACAAAGCAGACACTTGTAAGGAAAACTTACACATCACAAGAAATCCCGCTGGTAACGTCTAGAGAAGCACCGTGTCGTACCTGCACGCACGGGCACACCCACACGCGTTTTACCGCAGGTCTGTGTGCTGCGTACGCTGCTCTGAGACTTTTTTTCACTTAACAGTATGTCAAGGATCTCTTCCTGTAAATAAAAATCCTCATCATCATCCTAATGCTTGTAAATATTCCACTATGTACGTACACCGTTAATGAATTCTCTGTGCTGAGCCTTTAGGTTGCTTTGAATGTCTCCTCTTACTTACCAGGCAGGGGTGAGAGTCCTTGTGTGAGGTGGGGGACAGGTCACAGAGGTGGACTCTCCAGGTCAAACGATGTGCACATTCCAACTTTTAATATATTAACCGACAGCAGCTTTGAAAGAAGGCCTCTTTTCTAAAATAAAGATTATGTATGTTTCAAGTGTGCAGCATGCTTTCATGTATGTAGACATAGCAAAATGACCATTAACGAGCAGATTTTCTCATATGCTAATTAGCTATTAGTCAAGCTAATTAGCATATTTTCTCTGACCTTTTTTTAAATGATGAGAACATGTGAAATCTATTCTCTTGGCAGATTTCCAGGCTCACGTATTATTGACCACAGTCAGCAAGCTGTCCATCTACCCTCTTAGCCACTGTCAAACATACATATGTTACTGTTAACTGTGGAGCCTCGGCTGCATGCTGCATCCCCAGGACTTACTTATTTTTATAACTTTGACCCCCTGCATTCATTTCCCCCACCCCCACCCCTGCCTCTGGCAGCCTCCACTCTGTTCTCTGTATCTGTGAGTTCAGTTTTTGCTTTTAGAGTCCATATATACATGAGACCTTATGACATTTGTCTTTCTCTGTCTGACTTATTTCGCTTAGCATGATGCCCTCAAGTTCCACCCAAGATGTCACAAATGGCGAGATTTCATTCTTTTTAATGGCTGAATAGTATTCCTCTGTGTGTGTGTGTGGTAGTATCTTACTGATCCATTTATCTGTTGATGAACACTTAGGCTGTTTCCTTGTCTTGGGTATTGTAAACAGCACTGTACATGAGGGTGAGTGTATCTTTTCAAGTTAGTATTTTTCAGGTAAATATCCAGAAGAGGGGAGTTGCTGGGTAGTATGACAGCTCTATTTTCGCTTTCTTGAGGACCCTCCATACTGTTTTTTGTGGTGGCTGCACCAGTTCACGTTGCCAGCAGCAGTGCACAGGGCTCCCTTTTCTCCACACCCACTCCAGCATTTACTATTCGCAGACTTTTTGATGCTGGCCATTCTGACAGGTGTGAGGTGGTATCTCGTGGTTTTGGTTTGCTGATTAACAATGTTGAGCATCTTTCCATAAGTAGCTCTTAAAATGCATCCCTGTGGAGCACGTGAGAGTGCCTCTCTCCCCAAACCCACACCAACACTGGATGTGATAAATCTTTTTAATATTCAATAAGTTAATACCTACCCCATCGTTGCTTCTGTTTTCATTTCTCTTATTTCGGTTGGACATGTTTTAAGATATTCATTGGCAATTTATAACTCTTCTCCTGTGATTTATCTCTCTCTAGAGAGCCTTTGTTCATTTTCCTATTGAGCTGAGTTATCTCTTTCTTAGTATCTTTCACAGCCCCTCTGTGATCTAGTCTTAAAATATGTTCAAAGATACTCAGATACAGTCTTCAGAATACATCTAAAACCTGTGTGTATCCTCAGGATAAGTCTGTCCTGCTCGGGGATAAGTGACACTTGCTCTGTTCACCTTTGGAACGAGGTGTTTGCAGGTTGGCCGCCGTCCAGACCACAGGGTGAGTGGAGCTGCCCTTCCTGCGCATTCCTCCCTGGAGGTCGGCTGGGGTCTTGTGATCCAGGCCAGCCTCCTCTCTTCGTCCACCTGGCAAACATCTTCATCTTGCCACTGTACCACACTAATGACGGTGCCCCGGGGCCATCATTTTAGACAAGTGATGAGCTGTAGAGAAAAGAAAATTCGGAGGACAGCAACATTTTCAAAAAACACTTGTTTTCGGCTTTGCCCCGACATGAATTCATGGTCTGTAAACCACAGGCGTCTGTGCGGTTGGGGAGGGAAAATGATCTGATGTGAATCCTGGGGAGCTTCTGGGGGGACCCGGGACCCTACAGGAATGATGCAGGATACTGGCTCTCTGTTTGCTGTGGGGCTGCGTGACATGTGCTCACCGTGGCCTCAAACCACTCGCTGTTCCTTCCTCTACAGTTCCACTCGCTGGCTCCCATGTACTACCGCGGGTCCGCTGCCGCCGTCATCGTGTATGACATCACCAAGCAGGTAAGAATGTCCCCTCTAGAATTTAGGTGACGTTTTTGGTGACTCTCTGTCTGAAACGACCACAGCAGAGACCTCACTGCCCGAGTCTTGGCTGGAATGAGAGTCCGTAAAATGGTGGTGGGAGATGATGATCACTGGATACTGAGTTTTAGTATCTGGTAGCTCAGTGAAATAAACGATGAACATTTTCTAAATTGTCTGTTTGCAGAGGCAAGGTCACGCCTGCTAATCCCATTCTCCAGAATGTCAGCGTTTTAGGAAGAGGAAAATTCTTTTTAGGTTTCGCATGTTTTAGAATTAAAGATCCTTATTTTCTCTTGGTGTTTCAATCATACAACTTAAAACGCCCAGGATAACGTCCACGTCAGCGTGGTGGCTTTGCGTGCACATGAGATGGGCGTATTTTTAGTTTTCACATTGAGGCTCCAGGATGTCCGCCAACCAACCAATAACGTCAGTGGTCTGCTGGCATCCCCCCACCCTGCTCCCGCCCCGGCCCCCGGGAGTGCTGACTCAGCGTTCAGGGCTGCTGCTTCAGTGACTCATCGCTGAGCCCATCGGGAGCTCCTGACCGCTCACCTCCATGGAGTGGCTCCCTGGACTGTTTCCTGGAGGTCGGTTATGCGTGACGAACAGAGAGGAAAACAGGACTCTAAAATGTGTGTGTGCGCATGCGCGCACGCATGTGTTTATTTTCTTTTTCTTTTCTGATTAAGTGTGAACATTGTGAGTCCTGTGACTGCACCCTTGTTCATGCCGAGCCAAGGCTGTAAGTTACAAGTAATGCTATTTATAGAAGAAAATTATGAATATGATTATCTTAACCTCATCAAGTTTCAGTGTTAGAAAAGGAACCTTTTGCAGCCGATGTGTGGATACCTTCACTAACACTAAATTTTGCCCTGCGAGAAGGCTAGTACATTAATCTTCATGTGCCTCCTGAAAATGTTTTTCTTCGTTCATTCACGCTGGGTGTGTGTTTCTACATGGTTGAAATACTCTGTGAATGAGTCTGTTCTAAGATTGATTTACACTTTTGATTTAGGATTCATTTCATACCTTGAAGAAATGGGTGAAAGAATTAAAAGAACACGGTCCGGAAAACATCGTCATGGCTATTGCTGGAAACAAGTGTGACCTCTCAGACATCAGGTAAGAATCATCGAAAAAACTTGCTGTGTGGTAAGTGCCCTCCACCCCTGAACGTCTGTGTGGTTAGGTCTGTTGTCGGCGTCATCATTTAACTGGTGTCATTCACTTGTGGGGGTCGAGGTTGTGTTGGTTCAACCCGAGTAGAATTAAGGGACAATTCTAGGGAAAGGCAGCTTTGATGGAGCGCCGAGGTAGGAATGGATATTAAAGTCAAATCTCCACGCAGCACAGTCATCCCTGATGCTAGAGGTCTTTGGGCTGAGTGGTTTTGTTATTTTTATTGCTACCTTTTCTGTTACTCTTGTCATCATCACTCCCATGACCATTTTGGTAGGCAGCACGTTCACGTGGTCAGGAGACTTCGAATTCTTGACATGTTCCATAGCATCCCCGTTTGTCTGAGTTCTAGACTTTAACTTAAGGATGTAGTCAAGTCTATGCAATCTCACTGTTTTGTTCTAAGATCTGAATACGATGCATCACGTGTGAACACTTTGTGTGTGTGTGTGTGAACAGCGGGAGACACGAGATGTTGAACTTCCTCTTTTTGAAGAGAGGTTTGTAGGGACCTAGTCCGCATAGACTAGGCCTTTGACAGGAGTTTTGTCTAGCCTGATACGCTAACTATTTTTACTAAATAAAACTGAAATAAAAAAGGAGACTGAATTTGCGTTGTCTCCATCCCCTGGTTAATTTGATTCCCAGCCATTTGAGTGGTTGACTTTCCTAAAGACAGTGACATCATGCTTGCTGATCCAAAGATGACGACATCGGAGTTCAGCAAACAATCAAAATAGAGCTTTCAAAGCTCTTCACGTGGCCTTTGACAAACGGCTCCACTTCTTTGGGATTTCAGAAGCTTTGTATCACGCTGCATCAAGCTGGTTTATAATAACAGCTATAAACACCGCTTAACTGTTCGTTTCTCTGGGGGCCGGGCAAATCTTAAAACACCCGGACTTAGCTCAGAAGTCTGCCTGCTTTACTGCGCTCCTGAGACCGCCTGCGCGTCTTGAATTCCCCGCCAAGTCCCTGTAACGTGTCATGGGAAAGAGGCAGGGTGTGGAGACGGCCTCTGCTGAGAGTCATTGCTGTCACCCCACACCATCGAACTGCGGAGGAGGTGTGACTTTAAGAGGAACGAAGCCTTGTGTGTTCTGGGAGAACTGATGGGTGAGAATTTAAGCAGAAAACAGTTTAAGTGTGAATGGAATTAGTTAGGACTCTTGGTTACATGGAACTGAAACTCAATTGAAATTAATTTCAGGAAAAATGGGAATTTATTGGAAGGTACTGGTGTCCACATGGTGAAAAACGGGTGCTTTATTAGCCCTGGTATTTGGTATGTTCCGTCTTCGGTCTCTAGAAAGCCTGGCGCTCTCTTGTTTTTACATTGCTGTGGGTGGATTGCCCTGCATCATGACAAAGCATTTGTGGCCAAAGGAGGGGATGTGAGTAGTCCAGATGATTTTTCCCACCATAACCATGAGAATGGGAGAGCGGGTGGTTTTGAAGCAGGCCAGTTCCTAGAGAAGTGCAGCCCGGGCTCTGTGAGCTTGGCCACCGGCACCTAAAGCCACACCATTTCTCAGGGTAAGTTCACTGTTTGTGCCCTGGTACAGCGTTCTCTTTGAGTTTCTCCATACACAGTTTTCAACATGTCCCACTCACATAACCCTTCTGTCTCACTTCCAACCACAGAGTCACTCACAGCTGCTCCACCCCAACCAGGAGACAGTCCGAAACCACTTCCAGCTCCAACAGCCAGTGTGACTTCATGGGGCCCCTGTCACATGAGTCCACGTCCCCTGGGTGATACCATCTGCCCTCTGGCTTGGCCTCAGGGAGGTCTGAATGTAGCTTCTCCAGCCTCTATCATTGTGGTTTGAAGGGTCAAATAAGTATCTTCTGTTACACGCAAAATTATCTTAGTTACTTCTTGTTGTTGAATCAAGGAATTAATTCCCTTTGTAAGTCTCCTTCAAACCTCTGACTAAGTCAACAAGAAAGGCTGGTTTGATGCTAGTAAATTGAAACTTTTTAAACATTTACTGTATTTTACTGCAATTGTTTACAAATCATAAAATCCATCTTTTTAAAGTATACAGTTCAGTGAATTTTAATCTATTTATAGAGTTGTGTAGTCATCATCACATCTAATTTTAGAACATTTCCACTCTGCAAAGAAACATCACACCCACTTACAGTCATTCCCGATGTCTGCCTCCTTCCAGCCTCTGGCAACTGCTAGTCTACCTTTCTGTCTTTATAAATTTGCCTTTTCTGGACATTTTATGTAAATGGAATCATACAATATGTGGTCTTCAGTGACTGGCTTCTTTCACTTAGTGTAATGTTTTCAAGATCCATCCATGTTGTATGTAGCATGTACCAATACTTCA